AAGCTTTCCAAGCTAAAGCCTCAGAGGGTTGGCTTACTCGGCAAATCCCCCTTTTACTTTCCTTAGTCAGGTCATTGGTACCAAAACCTTTCATTCCCTCTGTGCAACAGGGATTCGTCGCGTACTCCCACAGGGGATCGCCAACTCTCTTTTTCACCCCACTGCCTACCTCATTCGTCCTCCCGACCTCTTTAACAGGTCAAGACAAACGCATCGCAGAAGTTTTCACAATCCGGATCTTCTCCACAGTTCACATTCTCCGACCCAGAAGTTCAAATTCGAATCCTTCCCAAAAACTTCCCCTCTGATCGTGCCCCCCCCCCCCCTCTCTGGTGAATGGACTCTGAAATGTATCCCCACCAACTGTCTCGGTACTGGATTCTGGAACTCAAACAGCTAGTGGTCGACAAGAACCTGCACCTTTTAGCCCTCAGAGAAACCTGACTGACTGCGGAAAACAGCGATGACGAAGTATCCATCACCGGTTATTCATTGATACGAAGAGACTAAACCAGGGGTCGAGCAGGCGGTGTGATTCTCTGCACAAATGATTACCTCTTCTAGGCGATCTTTTTACCCCTCCCTTCTATAGACTGTCTCTGGATTCAAATCCCCCTAACTGTATCGACCACCCTAGTGTGGTGACTTAGAATCACAACTACTCATAGATAAACTGGTAAGTTCAAGATCTATGCACTTCAATACAAACTTTCTGGTAACTAGACAGTTGAACGCTCCAGAAATAACTTGGTACAAACTCCACACCCCGAACAAAAATTTCGGAAAACTCTTGGTCGACCTGACCACAGAGCTGTTATGGACTCAGCACGTCACAAGTCTGACCAGACTCAATCCCCTTCACTATTAGACCTCGTCATAACAGATGAGTCACCTCACAGATACAATATAACAGCTCTACCCCTTAGGCAGGAGTGACCACACGGTACCCTTTTTCGATGCAACAGTTCACTGACCCAACTACGTCTCGCCATCTCTTAGGGAAGCTAGATCTTTTCAAAGAACAAACTTCAACAAATTGAAGCATTTCCTTCAGGTTCACCTACATCAAACCTATCAGATGAGTGACAGTGAAAACCTCAACAAACCAACAGAGAAACGTATTCATACAGCAGACCACCTGCTCGTGCTCCGCGTCCGTAAGCCCCGTAAGCGTCCGTAAGCCTCTACGACCACTTAGAGATTCTTGTTGCAGGTATCGCTCATTAGGCAAAACCCTAACCACGTCCTTATACATAGGCCGATCGTTCACCACTGCTTATTTGATGAGGCGATGTTCACGTATTCACGGCTAACCCGTTAACTGTCACATAAGTGGTTTGGGAACATCTTGAGTAGCGTATTGGGTCTGTTGGCAGTTTAGTTGCGGTGGCTTATGGCTTCTACCAACAATTTTAAGTTCCCCTACTCTGATTAGATTTCGAGATAAGGCAACCATCAATGTGTACTCCTTGAAGGCTACCAACCCTGATTGCTAATACAAGGTTGCTGGTACCTCTATTTGACACTCGGTCCCGGTAACTTTAGGTCGCACATGGGTGTCAGCAAANAGCAAAAAGAAACAACTAACGATACTCATTAAAATGAGGCGGATCCAATGTACAAACATGAGTATTAGAAAAACGTACAGTGGTATATACTTGCGTCTTGTAATATTCATGCTTTATTTGAACCATAAAATCTATTTCGATTCCAAGAGTAGTCGGGAACATTTAAATGAACAATATAGACTTCCATTTAAATCGAAACAAGTGGAAAG